GATCACTGGGCCCCTTCCCTACTCTGTTCCTGTAGTTGCATGCACTCAGAAAGCAAAATGATGAATGAATCAAACCATATTACTTTTGCCCTTGTACTTCAAAACATAATCGATATAGTTCAATTTATGAAGTCTTATATGTAGATTTAAATTTTGTAATTTGAAAAAAAATACCCAAGGAGAAGCTTTTTTAAATCCATGAATCCTCATTTCTTTCCTATGTATATAAATAATCTTTATGAATATAATGTTACCTTACACTTAAGAAATAAGAAAAGACTGTGAGGATGAGGACAAATATGTGTTGCTTCCAAAGCAGTAGAAATTTAGTGATGACATGAAAACCAATGAGAAACCATCAATAAAAAACACATAACAATTTCATACAAAAAATAAAAACCACCTTAAAAATGAATTTAAAAAGACAAATAGCCTTACAGAGAGGAAGAGGAGATGGAAAAAAAATTGAAGAGGAATTGTTTCACTGACAACAAAATATTAATGGACATTGAGCTCATTAGTAATTAGGGAAATTCAACTTATCATCATTAGAAATAAGGGAAAAGCAACTTAAGATCATAATGAATTTACACTGTCCACCAGTTAAATGGGTAAAAAGAAACCTGGCAATAAATATAGTATTGAGATTTTGTATTAATGGAAATTTTTGCCCTTCTAATGGATGTAAATTGATTTAACCATTCTTCCAAACATTTTGGAATTGTATGGTACAGCTGAGTATATGAATACACTTTTGTCAATAACTGGCTGCTAGTTGGTGCCCAGTGTCCATATGTGGCTTCTTCCTTTTACTAAAGGAAATCCATCCCTCCCTCCAAATTTAGCTGGACACAAGACCACCAGGCTAGATAAACCGTCTTAGTCTTGGCAGGTGTATGTCACTAAATTACTAATTCTGGCGACAGAGTGTGCCAAGAAATGTGTTACAACTTCCAACTCATCTCTTAAAAGACATCAGCTCTAGATTCCCTTTCTGGACCAGTGTTTGGGTCCCAGAAATACCGGAGCAGAATATTTGGGCTCAATAATGGAAACCACATGTTGAGAGATACAGAGCATATGTTCCAACCAGAAAATGCTGTAATTTACAAATTTAAGGAAAAAAAATAAGAGTAATGCTTTCTTTGTCCTACAAATTAAAAAATAAAAGGTAAAAGTCACAACATAAAGCAATTCACTGTAGGGTTAGTCTGTGTACAGTTCTGGAATATATACTACAACAATTTGCTTTCTGTGGTAGCGCTCCCCCGTTACACCATCTCAAAAAATGTATACATATACACACACACATCACACAAAGATTGTAACGTGAATATAGCAAAAAATACATGTAGTATGGTGTTACGATTAGTAAGGAGACTGGACAAAACCAGTTATGTCAGCACCCCATGATAATTCAATAAAATTTCCTCTGATATGCACATTTTACACTCCTACATGATGTATGTCATTGGCGAATTCATTGCTATTTCAGGCTATAGATCACAATAGATCACAAAATAAACATTCAAGTGTCCCAACCAGTGGCTTCTCCTCCAGTTAAGCAGATCTCCCCTGGATCTCCTCTGTAGGTTTCATGGTGGTAATTTTCCTTATGACCTCAGTTATCTTATGACTACATAAAAAGTCATTGATTTTCAGTGTCCATGTATTCTCATTGTAAAAATGCAAGCGACAACTTAAATACTCTAACCTGTCAGGAGTAAATCAAAATTTTCCTACAGTGCTTTTTTTTTTTTTTTGGCAGTGCTTTTTATACTCATCTCAGCTTCACTGATTATATTTCTTTCATTTAGTTTGCTTTATATAGTTCTCAAACTTGCACACTTCCGATTGCCTTTCATCTCCAAATGGACCTATTATTTCTGATTCCAACAGTGGCAGATATGTTGGACAGGGAAGATCTGGAAAGGACAGTGCTAAAGAAATCATAAGTGTATAGCTGTGTGAGTTTCCCCAAAATGAAAATAGTCAGTCTACCAACACTCTGGGGAACAAAAGAAAAATTACCAGCTCTCTAGATATTTTATTGCATTTCAGTGCTTGTGGTTTTTTTCAAGTTTCATAGTAATCACATGTCCTCAGGCTCTCCATTAAATCAACATCCTCCCCCAGAAGATACCTCTCATACATCTTCCATTATCCTTCCATTAATGTCCTTCAATCATAACTTAGAGAAATGTCTATAACATGGTTGACACTCAAACTATCAAATTTCAGACTCTGCTCAAGAAACCACTGAGAATGTTGAAACCTAATGATCCTGAGCATTAAGTCCATAGCATAGTTGCAGCACGATAATATGGGCTGTCATTTGCTCACATGCATAACTCATCTAACCTCTGTCGGGATGAATATGACACAGTGCTCCTTATGACATGGCAAACATAGAGCAAAAGAACAACAGTCATATCCTCTTAATAAACAGAATGACGAAACATTCCAATATTTTGTCTCTTATACATTTGTAGTTGTATATAACTGGACTAACTTGAATCTAGCTTTGAAAAAGCATGATGACCTCAATACCCATCTCTTCCTCTGGGAAAGAAGAAGCCAAAGATCCCTGAGGAGTATCATAGAGAATTTTTTCCCCAATACTTAGGTCTATTTAAAACAGATTGATGGAAAGTTTCCAAGCTCAGAGGCTATACTTTAAAGAGTATATATGTCTCATGGAGAGTATATTCCAGCTGCACTGATCATAGCCAAAAATTAACTGGACATCATTTCAGACTTAAATTAGAATATAGGACAAGACTTTCAGTCAGAGAAGGACAGGTTAAAGAGTTGATCCATGTATGGTAAGTATATCTCAAGCAATCTGATTGTAAAATTTCACTTTCAATGCCTCTCCTCCATTTTAAAACTAAGCTAGTTTTATTTTCTCTCTGGAGCACTTTTTCTATACCTATATGTGGAGCTTAGAGTTCTAAATGTGTTATTTAATGTACTTACAGGAAGGATTATAGGTTTCTCCTCCAACTAATTCATGGACTTCTGAATTGCTACCAGCAGATTCACACACTAACTAAAAGCACTGCCTTTCTACATAATTAGAAGTTCCCAGAAGTTCTTCAGTTTTGGGAAGATAGGTTATGAAAAACCCTCCAATTTCTCCTGATATTTTCTAATTCCTTTGGATCTTACTTCAACTATATAATACAATTGTAAGTGGAAAAAAAGCATTAGTGAAAAATTATCTGGGTAAAGTATCATACAATTTGAAGATAATGAAATTGAATGAATTTTAATGGAAATCTGTCCATCTTTCCTATTGCTATTGGCTATTTGTACTTGTGTCTCTGATACCTCTTCACAGAACAAAATACCTTAACCCAGAGAACTTACTTATTTTTTTATTCTTGTAGTCTTGTCCACACTAAGAATCCTATCAGAAGCCATTTCAGTAGGTAAGTTATACTGCTAGATCACTGTTTACATTTCAGTATTATTAATTTCTGTTTTGTGACTTAAGAAAGCAAAGCTCTCTTGTAAAATGACTAGAAATGTGCACATTAAAATATAGATGAGTGCATTAATGGAGCTTATTAGTCTCACATGCTTTTAAAAGGAATAAAATAATTAGATTTCATGTAGGTTGACTGTCAAAAGAACCTAAATCAGATGATACTTATCATATTTAAAATGTCTTACTTTTACTATGAAAAAAAGTGAAGAGAAAAAAGAACAGAATCCAATACACAAAAATGTACAAAGATGGAAAGAATTTGAAAGAAAAAGAAAGGTCAATAAAGCTTCAAAACATGAGGAAAATCTGTGACGTCATATAAGATTAAAAGTACATTCAGTTGCTGTGTGGCCAGGCTACATAAAAGAAAGTAATTCAGACACTGCTGGTGGAAATGCAAAGTTCTTTAACCCTATGGAAGGAAGCTAACAAAAAAAAATAATAAGCCTTTAAAAGTACTTAACACAGACTTGGTACATGATAAGTTTCTGGTTAGTCAACTTTATGATCTCTCACTTTCCAGACTGAAAACTTGTAACAGGATAAAAGGCCAAGACATGAGGAATAACTACAGTGAAAAAGGGAAGGGAGGAAGGAAGGAAGGAAGGAAAGAGAGCTTGAACTTGGCATCTGGTTTATAGAAAATAAATTTACTTCAACAGAGATTAATTTTAACAATATACTAAATCGTTTAAGTACAAATGAACTTAGAATTTCTATTTTCTTCCATGAAGGACAGTCAGGAGTAAGGTACTTTCATATATCCTCACTTAAACAAGTCTCAAAAAATAAATCTCTGTTACCAATGAGGAACAAGGACCAGTGGATGTATTTTAATAATGGATTTATTCAGATGATGGAATATATGATTTTGTGTAAATATTTTTGATGAGAAATTCAAAATGCATGCAAATGTATATTTTTAGAAAGGTTTAGTTAGCCTCTGAGGTGTATTTTGGAACATAAATATCTGATTTCAAGTCATTTGACATACAGTTTTTCCCTGAGTCACTGAACACTGCTTCAATTCTATCTGCTCATAAATATCCACTTAGCAATGTGTCTGTTTCTGAGAAGCATGTTTTGCATCATAAGTGTAGCATTAGATTACTGCCCTGGATTGAACTTGGCAAAATACAGAACCAAATATATTTCAGGGCTATGAATTCTCCTTGCAGAAGCCATTGTTTCAATCTTTGGAGAAATTGTTTATGGAACACATAACTACTGATGCTTTCAATCAGAATATTCTTCTTGTTACCTGTAAGGGGTTATACGTCTGATGGTTAAAGGTTTTGGTTTGCCCTTGTATACTAAATTAGCTCCCCTTCCTAATCATGTATTCAAGAAAAAATTATTTCTAGTTTTGATTTTACTGGTAAGATTTTAATTTTGACATGAGAAGTATTTGTCTCTTCTCTGACATCTCAACATTGAGCTTTACTTTCCATTCTAGAGATTCTTATTTCATCTCTTTTTTAGGTTGCATTAGAGTATACTGTACTAAATGGAGCAAGCAAAGCAGTCTCTGGTGTCTGAGTTTATTTTTGATGGACTCTGTAATTCAAGTGAAGTCCAGACCCTCCTCTTACTGCCATTTTCAATTGTCTACCTCATGACTTTTGTGGGCAATCTTCTTGTTGTTCTTATAATCATCCTTGATCCTCATCTCCATTCCCCAATGTACTTTCTCTTAGCCAATCTCTCATTTGTTGACTTCTGCCTTTCCTCAGTAATCACCCCTAAATTGATCACAGACTTCCTAAGAGTTAATAAGACCATATCATTTGAGGGCTGCATGACCCAGATCGTCTGTGCACATTTCTTTGGTGGGGAAGAGATGGTGCTACTTGTGACAATGGCTTATGACCGCTATGTGGCAATTTGCAAGCCACTCCACTACTCCAGCATCATGGACAGACAAAAGTGCATCTGGCTAGTTTTGATAACTTGGATCATTGGCTTGGTGCATTCCACAAGTCAACTGGCTATGGTTTTAGAACTTCCCTTCTGTGGACCCAGAAGAGTGGACAGCTTTTTCTGTGATATCCCTTTGGTGATTAAACTGGCCTGCATGGATACACATAAGATAGAGATGATGATAAATGCTGACAGTGGGGTCTTGGCAACAACCTGTTTTATTATCTTGCTGGTATCCTACACCTATATACTAGTAACTGTCCACCTTCGCTCCAAAGATGGGACATCAAAGGCACTCTCTACCTGTACTTCTCATATCACAGTTGTGATGTTATTCTTTGGACCCTGCATCTTCATCTATCTCTGGCCACCTAGTACCATCTGGGTAGACAAGTTTCTTGCTGTGTTTTACACAGTAATCACACCTCTCCTGAATCCAGCTATTTATACTCTGAGAAATAAAGAAATTAAGAATGCCATAAAAAGACTGATAAATAAGCATTTGGATTCAAGAGATAAATTGTAGATCTTTCATGTAATCAAAGATTCACTATGTGTACCAGCATTGGACCACATTTTAACCTATAAACTGGGCAAAACTTTACCTGCTTGTATCTATAAGCTATAGGTATTCCAGATGGACTGTCTTTACTCCATCATGAAAATACTTTTAAAAATCCAGTACATTTATTCTTATCACTTGGAGAAAAAAATAATTTGCATATATATATTTGCATAAATTCTTTTTTGTATGTTCAAGACTAATAGATGATAATAATGAAAATGATCATTACAAATAAAAATCATAACTACTATCTACTAAACAGTGTGTTATGTACCCAACTTCATGTTAACCATTAAGGTAGTTAATTTATTACTGACATAGTCACTCTGAATTAGTTATTATTCTCGCTTCTAAAAACACCTATTTATCTACCCTAAGACTAACTTATCTACACAGGAAATGAAGACTGGATCAAAAGCATACTATATTATTTTATCTGTTTACATATTGGGAAATATGTAATATACAATACTATACATATACATACACATTATAAATATTGTATACATGAAGTACACAATACTATATGATTTAGATGAACAGGTTCACACTTCCTCAGACTTATGTTACCACACATTAGGGATGAGTGGTGACATTTGGTGTTTAACATGATATTGGTGCAGTGTTTGAGCGCTGGGTTGCAAAGCTGCCCGCAGCCTCTACAGCACTGGTTCATTTACCGGCCACCAGGCGAGGGTCCCACATGGTGCGCAGACCTCTCCTGCCACCCACTGCTACCCTCAGCAGTGTACTTCATCAGTCTGCCTGTTCTGCTCTCTGCTCTGTCTCTGGTGAATTCTCTCGCCCCCACCTCCCACGCTTCTGACTGTACCCAGTACTTGTATAAATAAATCTTTAAAAAATAAATAAATAAAAGGGCATTATTCTCTCTGTTTCTCAATCCATTGCTGTTGCTGTAAGTAAATAACCTGGACTGTGCAAGTAGGTAGAAAACAATTTTTAATTGTCCTCACAATCTTTCTCTCCTCTGTTGTCCTTTTGCTTTGTTAACTCACTTTATTTGAATGTTTTTAAGATATGTTGATTTATTCCCTCCCACCTAGTCTTATTTTCATAGTTAAAAGTGTAAGATGGACAGAACATAAAAGATTCTTCAGTGTTCTGATATTTTTGTTAAAGTAGGATATGAATATATTAAATTTTTCATCCCTTTTATTGTCTAATATGAAAACAATGTTTACATTTGTCATTCTATTCCTACTGACACAACAAGAATGAACACGCCTCTTGTCAGATTTATCCAACTACTGTTGCCAATCTGAAAACTCCAGGCTATTTCCTGAAAATCAGCAAAATGTAATACTTATTTAGCTGCTGCATGCCATAGAATTTTCAGATGTCTGTTGTTTCAACTCAGTTCTCAAAACTATTATAGAGGTATTATCTCTGAGTAGACATCTTTAACATGAAAAACTGATGCAGAGGGCAATCCCATTTCTCATGTAGACCATACACCAAGTATGTTAGTGCAGGTAGGTAGAAAAAAAATTTCTAATTGTTTTCACTCAGTGGGTTGAAAGATGCATACTGTTTGGTTCCTATGTCTGTGGCCTTAAACACTGGATGCTGATCCTATACAATGTTCCTGCTTCCTTAATTAATATTGATGAAACTGTTCTTAAATTAGAAAACTACAAATATTACCTCTAAAAATGAAGCAAATCATGTTGGGGATACAGAAACAAATATAAAATTTAAAATTCCATCCCCTGAAAAATTTTTGGGTGAATCTTAAACCTCACACAAAATGCCATTTGGCCTTCAAAATAGATTTTTCTCTATAAAAGTTTCCTGAATTTACTTTTATTTTTCCATGCCAGTCAATTTAGTTTTATTAATAATTTTTAAAACTATGTTATATGAATGTATCCATTTAATCTGCACTGTATTCCTCAACATTAATATGTCTCCATTTAGTTCCTACTATATAAAATGCTGGTAGGTAGTAGCATTGCAAATATATTTCTTTCTTTTGTGTATTTATTTCCTTTCAAAATATTTTTTATAGAACTGCTGAGTTAAAGTCAAAAGATCTCTTATTATTCAGTTGCCCTCTTGAATGATTCCCATTAGCTGAGAATAAGGAATACTGCTTCCCCAATCCCACACCAAAGATGGGTTTGTTGAGGAAAAACTAGAAAAATGCAATTGTTTTTGAATTAGGACTACTAGAAAGGACAAGAAGGGATAACATTCTTATCTTTGCATAAGTGACTGAGCATGCATTTAGCTCTACATCCTTTCTAATTATTCTCTATTTCTTTCAGTACATGGTACTTTAAAATTTCATGATTGCTTCACTTTTAGGAATAACACCAGCATCAGGAAAAAATATCAGGAAAATCCCTCTCCATTTGAAAATTTGTCCTTTTATTTGGGAAAGAAAGTCCTCCACAGATGACATTGTTTTACGTCACATTGAAGAGTTCTGGATTCTATGCCCCATCTTAGACAAATCCATGCCCAAGTAAGATAGAAACTGATTTAGAAAAATCATGCTCTCAAGCTGGAATAGGATTAAATCTCCTAAATTGAGACCACTACCTGGAGTTTCTATGGGAAAGAATGAGAGAGGATAAAGTCTTTCTATAAAGACATTATAGAACTCAAGGGCAGCTGGAGTTATAGAAATGAAGGCATGATAAACAGGGAAGGGAGAGCAAGACAAATGATTAAAAAAATAATATTACATAAGGTATTTCGAATTCAGTTTCATTCTACAAATAAGGAAGATATGGACACCAGTTTCACTTGTCAATCATGAGGATAGGCTTGCTGATGAAAAGGTGACTGAAATGGCTGGAATTTTTCAGTTAAGTGAATACCTAGATGAGTGCTCAGAGAATACATATATAAATCCTTGACAGGAAAAATAAAAATTGCCTGAAAATGAAAGAAGAAAAGATATAATCCCATTTTCATCCATCTAAAATATTCATAGGGCCTCCCTGGTGGTGTAGTGGGTTGAGCACCGGGCTGTGAAGCTGTCCGCAGCCTCTGCAGTGAGGGTTCGATTCCCGGCCAGCCAGGGAGATTCCCAAATGGCGTGGCAGACCTCTCCTGCCTTGTCCTCCGCTCCATCTGCCTATTCTGCTCCCAGCTCTCTCTGGTGAATTCTCTCAACCTCCAATGCCTCTGACCTGTACCCCAGTTCTTGTATAAATAAATGAAATCTTTAAAAAAAATAAAAAATTCTCCTAGGACCCACAGAAGGAAACGCCACTATTTAAAATAAATTAATTAATTATTCATAATATTTTTTCTTTTTATGTGTTCACTCTCCTGATGACAATAATTATATTTTCTTTATTTTTCTAATCTAATTAAGTGATTTTTACCTCTAGGAAATAAACTGGTGGCAAGTAGGAAATAATAGAATAACAGAATAAACTAGTGGCATAAGTAGGAAATCTACTTTGTACCACTGATTCTGACTTTTCATATGTTTTATCCTCAGGTGATTTGATAATCAGCTCACCTGCCCAAGTCAATGGGTATACTAAATATCTCTGTGGTTTCTGAGTTTGTGTTGATGAGATTCTCTAGTTCTTGGGAAACTAAAGTTTTCCTCAATGTGATATTCTCCTTGATCTACTTAGGGATTGCCCTGGGAAATCTTTTCATTTTGTTCTTGGTGATTTTTGATTCTCACTTATATTCTCCTATATACTTCCTGCTGGCCAACCTTTCCCTCATTGATGTGGGTATTTCCTCTACCACCATCCCCAAGATGATTACAGACCTTTTAAAAGAACACAGAGAAATTTCATTCCAAAGTTGTATCACACAGATATGCTTCATCCACATCATTGGAGGAGTCGAGATGGTGCTGCTCATCGCCATGGCCTTTGACAGGTACACAGCGATCTGCAAGCCTCTCCACTACTTGAGCATCATAAGCCCCAAAATATGTTTAATTTTTAATTGTTTGGATGGGTGATTTGAGTGATACATGCTATGTCTCAATTTGTATTTGTTATAAACTTGCCCTTTTGTGGTCCTAAGAAAGTGGACAGCTTTTACTGTGACTTTCCCAGGGTTATAAAACTTGCATGCCTAGATGGAGCCAAGTTTGAATTTATTATTGCTGCCAACAGTGGCTTCATGACCATGGGCACTTTTTTCCTGCTAATCCTCTCCTATATCTTTATTTTGGTCACTGTCTGGAAACATTCTTCGCAGACTTATCCAATGCATGTGTCACATTGTCATCTCATATTACAGTAGTGGTTCTTTTTTTCACTCCATGTATGTTTCTCTATGTATGGCCTTTTCCCACATCATCAATTGATAAATATCTGTTCATTGTTGACTTTACCATCACCTCTGTCTTAAATCCTGCTATGTATACACTGAGGAACAAAAACATAAAAGTATCTGTGCAGGGCCTCCCCTGGTGGCGCAGCGGTTGAGTGCTGGGCTGCGAGGCTGCCCACAGCCTCTGCAGCGCCGGTTCATTCCCCTGCCACTGGCGAGGGTCCCACAAAAAAAAAAAAAAAAAAAAGTAGCTGTGCAAAGAATGAACAAACAAAGACATTATGTCAAATTTTTCTAATTGCACCTGACTTTGGATTTCTAAAACAATACATCTACCCTTTGGACATTTCCAACCAGGCATCTCACACTTAACATGGCCATATCTGAACATAACTACCTTGCTTACCAGATTTCTACTACTTCTGTAGAACATTTTCTTATTATCTTTATCACTATGGTAAAAGTGAAGCCACCATGATATGGGTTATTTTAGCAAACAGCATCACAATATACTAAATGATATTTATAATTGAAATTGTGATCATTTTGATAATAAAAATATAGTGACATCTCTTCTAAACTCATTAGGTTTTGAAATGAGCTACAAACATTCTCTGGTGAATTTCAGGAATCATCACATCAGTATAGTTAGGAACTAATAGCTTTGTTTAGATATTCAGGTT